CCACTCTTCTTGAACTCCCCTCCCCCTGGGGTTATGGTCCCTTAGGGCCTGACTGACAAGCCTCCTGATGAAAGACTGATTCAGTTCAGGGATGTAGTGGCCTGTGCTCACAGACTGAATATAGATCTGAGTTCTGTCTGCTCCAAACCTACTTCCATGCCAGAATTGTCTCTTAAATTCTTGTTAGAATTTTGCTTGAACCAGCTGGAAAAAAAAAATTAATATCACATTAACCTGGGGGAAATAATTACTGATTTTTTGAAGGAAAAAACCCACAGAATTCCAGTGGAAATAGAGTGTAAAGCTACTGTAAACTCTTTTTAAAATCTTCTTCTGAAAAAGATGCTAAGTTAAAAAAGTGAAATTCAGTAAGTTATAGAATCATAGGAAAGTTGGACTGGAACAGACCCCATCTAATCCAGACCCCTGCTGAAGTAAGCATCATCCATCAGTAAACCATCTCAGCCAAGTGTCTGTCCAGCCTACTATTGAAAATTTCCAGGAATGGAGATTCTATAACTACTCTAAGAAGCCTGTTCCAATCTTTGACCACCCTCATAGTAAGGAAGTACCTCCTAATCTCTAACCTAAATTTCATCTGCTGAAGCTTGAGGCCATTGTTCCTAGTCCTGTCCCCTACAGCCACAGAGAAAAGCTCATCTCCATTCTCTCTTTAACAGTCTTCAGATATTTGAAGATTGTTATCAAATCCTCTCATATTCTACTTGTCTCCAGAATAAAAAACCCTAGTTCTTTCAGCCTTTTCTCAAAAGTCATGCTTCCAAGGCCTCTAATTATTTTGTTGCTTTGCACTGGACACTTCCCAATCTGTCCACATATTTCTTGAAGTGTGGTGGCCCCAAAACTGTACTCCAGTTGAAGCCTCACCAGTGCTGAACAGAGTGGAAGAATAACTTCCCTTGATCTGCTAGTGACAGTCCTGTTGATACAACCTAGTACACAGATGGCCTTTTTTGCAACAAGACCATGCTGTTGGCTCATATTCAGTTTATGGTCTACTGTAACCCCCAGGTCCTTTTCTGAAGTACTACAGCGTAGTCAGTCACCACCTCCCCCCCACCCCCAGTCTGTATTTGTGTGTTCAGTTATTCCATCTTAAGTGCAGGCTTTGCATTTCTCCTTACTGAATTTTATCTGGTTGATTGTGGACAATTTTCCCAGTCTACCCAGATTATTCTGGATCTTGGCTTTGCTCTCCAGAGTGTCTGCAAGTCCATCCAACTTGATGCCATTCACAAATCTGCTAAGGCTGAACTCAATCCTATCATCCAAATCATTAATAAAGATATTAAACAATACTGAACCCAGGACAGACCCTTAAGTAATCCCACTTGATACCTCTTCCCAACAAACACTGATGATCATATTGAGCATATTTGTTGAGCATGATGATCCAACCAGTTATGTACCACCCCTACAGTACTTTCATGTACTCTTCTTTTCCTTAGCTTGTTATGGAAAATGCTGTGGAAGACAATGTGAAAAGCCTTGCTGAAATGAAGGTATATCACATCCACTGCTCTTCCTGCATCCACAGAACCTGTTACTTTATGATGGAAGGAAATCATGTTGGTTTGGCATGATTTGCTTGGTGAATCTATTACTGGTTGTTCCTGATCACCTTGTTCTCCTCTTGGTGCTTCACAATTTAATTTATTTGATAGTCTCAATGATCTTTGAGGACATACCGCATGATCTTTCCAGGTATTGAGGTCAGACTTGTCTGTAGTTCCCTGGATCCTCCTTCTTCACTTTCTTAAAGATGGGCACTATATTTGCCCTTTTCCAATCTTATCTGACCCTGGTGACTTGAAATCTAGATTCTTTAAATAATCCCTAACCTGTTCTGCTGCTATGCTAGGCTGCTTGACTCCATCCCTAGCTTTGCTGTCTTACTCATGACATGCTTGTAAAATGTCTTTTATATCTCTTGCCAGCTGCCTCTCAAATATGCTTTGGCTTTCCTAATTTTCTCCCTGAATGTGATCCCCCATGTGATACTAAAATACTCTTCCCTAGTACCATGACCGCATTTCTATTTTTGCAAGATTCCTGTTTGAGTTTCAACTCATTGGAGACACTGCTGCCTAGCCAGACTGATCTCCTGTTGCAATTCTCATTCTTCTGTTGTATCAAGATAGATTCCTCCTCAGAACTCAGAAGGGCCTTCTTAATGGAGGCAGCCAGTGCTCCTGGACTCCTTTTTCCCTCAGACTTGCCTCCCAGGGGATCTTGCTAAATAGTTGTTAAGGTCTGCATTTCAGAAGTCCAGTGTCTTTATTGTCTTCTTCTTCTCTCCCCTTAGCTCTTGAACTTTGTTGTCATTTGGCATGTCTACATGTGACATAGTATCCGTGGGCAAAAGCCATGACACTGCTGCTACGTTGCCTTAGCAATGTGCTCCCTAACTATAGCATGTAGCTATGGTGATGTAGCAGCTAAAAATGACCATGTGCTACCAGCGCAATACTAAATGATAGCACAGTAACAACAGCACCATAGGGGCAT